GGTAACGGCTGCTGCGGTAAGGGCTGTGGTGGTGGAGGAGGTGGAGGGGGCTGTTGCGGTTGCGGCGGCGGAGGAGGCTGCGGTGGCGGTGGTTGCTGCTGCACCGGTTGATGGTGATGATGGTGATGCTAAGAGAGGAAAAAAAACCCACTGGTGAGCTACCAAAACACCTTCGCGGTCACTGAAACACCTTCCCGGTCATCAAAATGCCCCTGCCCCAGGCATGGAAACACCCTCCTGGTCACCTAAATGCCCTCCCGGTCACTGAAACACCTTTTCTGGTCACCTAAATGCCCTCCCGGTCACTGAAACACCTTTTCGGTCACCAAAATGTCCTCCCGGTCACCAAAACACCTCTCCAGTCACTGAAATGCCCTCCCAATGTCCTTTCAAGCATACCCCCAATTTCAGGCTGGCTTGGGACAGCTTCCAAGCAAAGCAAAAGCCTCTTTGCCTGAGCACAGGGAGGGCATCGACCCAACCGATCATGCTGGTGATGGTTCTGCCGGCATTCCTGGCGGTCCTGAACCTCCCCGGGGATTCAAGCCCAACTCAAGCAAGATGAGAAGGATGCTGCATCTCCTACCTTTTTCTGCTCTCGTCCTGAATGCCCTTTTTTCTTCAATTTCGGTGCCATTTCTGCCAAAAAAAAAAAAGGGGGAACAGAGCAAATGTTAGTACCCCAGCGGTGCCGCTCTACCCCATTGCCCCCGTAAAAACCCAACAGCACTGATTCAGTACCAACGACGGCAAAAGAGAAGGTTTTAGGCATCGATTGAGCTGGATTTCCCCACAGACCTCTTGCCCAGAGGCTTGGGGTTTTCACCACCATGCTGTCCCAAAAAGGAAGAGAGCATTGTAGCAAAAAGCAGAAGAAAATTAAGGTGAAGACCCCCAGTCTCCTTCCACTGGCGCCTTTGCGGTGCAGAAGGACCCAACAGCCAAGAAAAACCATTGCTCAACCAGACTCAGCTATTCCAGGAATGCTGCCTTGCTCCAAAGGGGGAGATAAGGAGCGAGAAACTTGGCAGGAGGAATAAAAAAAATAAGATATCAAATATCCCGGCTACACAAACAGCAATTTTCCATCCCCCCTTCCTTCTAAATCTGCAGAGGATTTGGGTTTGCCAGCTTCCCGCGGGATGATCTCTCACGCCTCCTCCCCTCCGGAGATATTTTTAAAGCATCGTCATCGAAAACAACTGGTTTGAGTTTGGGTCCAGGGCGACAATTTCCCAGGATTTCCTCCGCAAACCATGCCAAGAAACAGCGAATTAACAAAAAAACATTGTCCGAGATCGCTTATCCAGCCACACAAATCCCTCGGTGGTAGCATTTTTGCCTTTATTTGGCGCGGTGTTTGGATGCGCCCGGCAAAACACGATGGGTAAAACCCTCTCAGCAACGATTTTGGTGGGGTGGGGGGGAAGCTCCCAATCCCCGGGATTCATCTCTCAAATGGGATTTTCCCCTTAAATCCATCTAGAAATGAATTTTTTTAAAGTTCGCTTCTTCTTCATCTCTGTTTTTTTTAATTATAAGGCAGCACCAGTGACCGGTATCAGCACCGGAGCGTGCCCAGCTGCCTGGTGATGGGCTGCACCGGTCCGGTGGCACCCTTTTGCAGATTTTAAGGATGAAGCAGATAAAAAAGTAGGTTGTTTTTTTTTTTTTTTTAAAAAAACAACCAAAATTGGTTGGGAAGGGGAAGAGGTAAAATCTCAGCACTGGGCACTGCAAAACTACTCAGCTCCTATTAATCTGCCTGCAAATGTTTGGTTTTAAATATAAGCAGTATTTGGTTTCAAGGTAGAAAAGGCTTTTTGAGCCCGTGGTTGATGATTCCTGATGTTACAGCCCAGATCTGGCGGATCCGCGGATAATGGAAGAGCAGGATTAAAATGGCACCGGGGAGCCAGGGTGCTGGGAAGAGGAGAGGTGGGATTCCTTGGAGCATCATGATGCCGGGGTTGGGTGGTCACAGATTTGGATAGGCATCCATGGCTCAAGATGGGTGTCCATGGCTCTGAACGGGCATCCATGGATCCAAATGGACATCCGTGGCTCTGGATGGACATCCGCAGCTCTGGATGGGCATCCATGGATCCCGATGGATGCCAGGAGCAGACCCACCTTCCAGAAGACCAAGACCTGATGTCTTCTTTCATCAAGAGGGAAAGTGCTTTGGAGGACTTCACTGCTCATCCCACCGATGCCAGAGAAGAAGCAAGGACAGGAAGTGGAGACAAGTTTCTCCGGCAGATGCTCCCTACGGATAAAACATGTCCAGGCGCAGCTCTTGGGGAGTGGAAGCGACTTCATGGAGCCCCCCAGTTTCTGCCTCGTCCTATTTAATCAGGATAAAAGCACTCAGGGGATGGTAAAGAAAACCCAAATTCGGGAGAAACGTGCAGAGCGGAGGTGTCAGGTTGGAACAGAGGAGAAAAGCTGTGGACTAAGCCAGGATCAGGAGGGATTAAGCATCAGTTCCCCAAAAAAGCCCTGTGATAGGGTGGTCTCTTGGCTGAGCACATCCCTGCTCCAATTTTGGGTGGGAAGAGGAGCCGCTACGGTTTGACCGTGAGCATCAGCTGCTCCAAAAGCCACTTCTCCTGTGTTGCTCCTTCTGGGAAGATGGTTGCTCTCTTCTCCAACCATTTTCTGATGTGCCATGACCTAGCGGTTCTCCCAGGGGAGCTTTTTCAGGGTAGGCTTTGCCATCATTCCTGGTACAAGCTTAATATCGCCACAACGAACCCAGGCAAGACCTTGGAGCAGGATGGGTGAATCCTGCCACTTGAATCACCCAATCAACCAAAACTGTGGCTGAAAGCAGCCGCTGGTGAACGGATGCCTTGGGAGACCCTCCATGAAGATGAAGCCAACGGAGACCATGAGTGGCAAAGCCGTGACAGTCCCAGGGGATCACCCGGCAGCATCGGTGATTTCAGAGATGCAATGAGCTTGGCTAACCCAACTGAAGGATGAACCTTCTTCACCGCTGAAGACAGCTGTTGGGTTACAGTCAGTATTGTGTGGTTTGGCATCTCCCCAGGGAGCAAGAGCAGCGAGAAGAAGCCCTGTCCCATCTCTGACCCCGACGGTGTTTCACACTTGCCAGAGATGTCTTCACCAAGAAGACGAAGCCAATGGAGACCATGAGTGGCAAAGCCACGATGGTCCAAGGGGGATCACCCGGTGGCATTGGTGACTTCGGAGATGCCAACCCCACCAAAAGATAAAGCTTCTTCACCGTTGAAGATGGTTGTTGGGTTACAGTTGGTGTTGTGTGGTTCAACATCTCTACCAGCATCTCCCTAGGGAGCAAGAGCACTGAGAAGAAGCCCCATCCCATCTCTGACCCCGATGCTGTTTCACGCTGGCTGGTTAAAACTCATCTGCGGAGCTAAAAATCACCAGGATTAAAGAAAAAGGTAATTTCCATGATGTCATTTCAAGATGTTTGAAGAGCAGAAAGCTTAAATCAGTGCATGAGGCTCCGCTCCTGCCAGCGTGTCGGCAGCCACATGTATATATTTTATTTTTCCCTAAATCCTCATCTTTTACTCCCACCCAGTTTACCCAAAATAGCAAAACACTGACATACGGTTCACTATCATTATAATTTCCACAATTATTAGTTAAAATTCCATGATTATACAAAGAAAGTGCATTTTCCGTAGCAAGCCACTTTATTGATTTTATTATTTAAAATAAAATATCAAAGCTATACAATTTTTCTCCTTTTCTTGGGGGGAAAGAAGCTGGTGGTTACATGGCTGTGAAATCCCGAAGCATGCGGAGAGAATATAAAAATAAACAGATTTATATAAAGTATTTGTAGCAGATCAAGGTTAAGTGGAAAAAAAAATCTAAATAAAAGCGGTTATGGAAACAGTTTGTTTGTAGTTAAATTCATCCCGATTTCCCAAGTCTGGTGCATTCAGGAAAAAAAATAGATCTAGAATTACAAGTTTGCTAAATACATGCAGTTATACATTCCAATAAAATCATGATCCCACGTTAATTCCCCTTGTGTCTCCTGGGAAAATAACAAACTTATTTGGGGAAAATACTATAAATGCCTAAAGTGACTTGAGTTTAAAAAAAAAACAACAAACACTCAAAAAGCAAATTTTCACTATAATATTGGTTATAATCTTTTTGATGTAAATGGGAATCTCTATTAGGTTTTAGGACAGCAGGGCCACAATAGGGCTTCCTGGATTTGGCGGTGGATTTTTTTTTTAGTGGAAAATACTCATTTTAACTAATTCTGCTCTTGGAGATCACAGCTGTGGCTTCACCCACTCTGTGGACCCTGCGAAGCCCCACAAGATTTGGCACATATGTGACTGTGGTGCTGGTGGAAGAACAACCGGGTTGGCTGTTATTCTCCAAATCCCATTAAATACACCAAAATTTGCCTAATTTGACCCAAAAGCCGCTTGAGAGGGTGCTGGATACTGCCCCCAAGGAGGGGATGCTCAACCCGGAGCTGGTGCAGCAACTCCACCGCAGCAAAGATGCGTTGCCACTGGCAAACCGGGACCTGGCAGCGTCACCGCGGGATGCTGTACGGCACTTGGGAGTATTTTCAGTGAGACCCGTCCTTGAGCAAAGTGATCGGGAAGCGTTTCTAGGGTAAAACTGAAGGGATTTGGGTTTTTCTCGGCACTGTTATTGGCACAGAGGTGCTGCCTGTAGGCAGGGCTGCCACGTGATGCCTCGCTGCCTGTTGCCTGACTCCCTGCCTGCACGCCGCCCATCTGCCGATGATGCTCTGAGTTTCTTTTAAGTCAAGATTAACCAACACGGCTGTGGTTCCTGCCTGTACCCACCCTGTGGCACCTTGCTGTGGGCAAACATGACTAAACCGAGCCTAACAGATCCCTGTCCTCTCCCGCTGAGCGTAACAGGTGGCGATGAGCTGGGGGAAGACTCGTGTGAGGTCAAGGAGGGACTCTAAGTCCTTCCTATTGTACACTGCGGCCGAGAAACCGAGCCTGGGAACGGGGCAAAAAGAAGCAAATTATTTCCAAAGGCACAAATCTACTTGAAAAAATAAATGGTTGGGTTAAATCAATCCATCTCTCTCTTAAACTTGAAGGGAAAAGGATTGAGGATTAAAACTCACCAGAATAAACCAGCGCAGGGAGGACGTGGGGTGTAGCTCGGTGGCTGGGACTGAGCTTCACCAGCACCCACAGTTATGGGAACCTGCAGGTTAAACCTGGGTGCCTGTGATTTAAACCTAGGTATCCAGGATTTAAACCCAGGTACCTGCGGATTAAATCTTTAAATTAAACCCAGGCGCCTGCAAATTGGGTAACTTTGAATTAATCCAGGTAACTCTGAATTAATCCAGGTAACTCTGAATTAAACCTGGGTGCCTGTGGATTAAGCCCCGATACTTTTGAATTAAAACCAAGTACTTGTGAATTAAACCCAGGCACTTGAGATTTAAACCTGGGTACATGCAAATTCTGGGTACTCGCGAATTAAAACTCGGGTACCTGCAAATTAAACTTCAGTACTTTTGAATTAAACCCAGGTACCTCTGAATTTAACCAGGGTACCTCTGAATTACAACGTGGGCAGCTCTGAATTAAAACATGGGTACCTGCAATTTAAACTCAGGTGCCTCCAAATCAAACCCAGGTACTTTTGAATTAAAATCAGGTATCCGCTAATTAAATCCAAGTACTTGTGATTTAAACCCGGATACCTCTGAATTAAACTTGAGGGATCTTCAACTCTTGAGACGCCATGACATCCCAGCCCGCTATTAACCCACCCTTACGCTAACGCCTCTCCTCCTAAAGACAGGACTGATAACTCCTTAGCAGAAGCACTTAAAAGATTTGCTGAGAGCAGCCCTGCAACCCCATAAACGAGTTCTCCTACATTGCTGAGCCAGCTCTAGCCCCGACTTTTAATCCTTCATAAAAAAAACCAACCATGTAACTGCACTGCTGCAGCCTTGAGCAAGCTGCAAAGCCTTTTCCTTTACACAACTGCATAAAACACAAGGATAAATGCAATTTTCCTTTGGGAAATTTCAGAAGAAAAGCAAAATTAGCAACCACAAACTAACTGAGGCTCAGATTTAATTGCCAAAGTTTTAATTGCTACTATTAATTATTGCAGCTGCGGGACTTCTCCACCCGACTGGTCTTTTGGGGGTCCTGGGAAGCATCTCCCAAAATATTTGGGGGATAAAACAACCCAGCTCAGCTGAGCTGTGACGATGAACAGGCAGAGCCCATCCGGTTTGCTGTTAAGTAACCCAAAATTTGGTGCCTACCAAAAATAAGCCAGGTTTTAAGTTGCCCGAGCCCCAGGACGGCGGCACTTGCTGAACCTCAGTGAAATCACGGTCCAGCTCAAGTGCCGAAGCTTGAAGCCTGGAGAGGCAGCTCAGAGAGCTCATTCCTGGCCGCCTGCAAGCAAAAAATCCTACCTAGATGCTTCCAGGATGGAGTTTGGGGTCATTTGCATCCACTAACTGCTAATTACAACAAGTTAAACCGGAATAACCCTCTCGATCGGCACCTCTGGTTTCTCAGAGCTTAAGGCAAAGGCTCAGCCCCATCTCCTATGCTACAAAACCGGTATTATTATTCTTCTTCCTCCCTTTGAAGCCTCCCATTTTCAGAGTTTCAGCAGATTTTTGGTAAAACACTCCCGATTTAATAAAATAACATTTAATTGCCAGCTACAAGGAGGGATGGAGACGTCGCATATAAAATAAAAATAATTTAGATTTTAAGTTGTGGATTGCAAAAAGGCAAGGGGCAGCCTGTGGGAGCCACTGCCGAGCAGCAAACCTGCACTTTAAAGAGAATAAAATGGAGCTGCAATTAATTCTAGCTTACAATTTCATCGCATCTGCGTTTGCTTATATCCATTAGCACTGACTGCCTCTTTTTTTTACAATAAACCCAAGCAAATGCAAAAATCAAGGTAAAAAAATCCATGTTACCGACTTTTGCCACTGGTTTTAAAATCACAAATATCTACTGCACAAATTAATCCCACTGTACAGCGGCTCGGAGGGCAAATAAAAACTTCATTAACAAAAAATAAATTGTTAAGATGCCAAATCTTGCTAAAAATTGCAGGGCAAATTTTGAAGCTTACCGGCAAATTTTAGATCTAATTCTCTGCTTAAGCCAATGCAGGTGTTGGCACAATTATCCTCCCAGAAAAAAATAAATATGTGAGTATTTTACAACAGCAAAACTAACCTTCCCGTCCCACTCGGAGTCATTAAAATAACACCATCATAAACTAACAGGACAACATATGGTCAAAAATATGTCTTAAAATGTCTTAAAACATCTTAAGACATCTTAAAACCTCTTAAAATGTCTTAAAAGACAACTTGCAAGTGATTCAACAGTAACGTGGCAAATACCAGGATGGACAAGATCTACCGGATACTGGGCAAATCCCTGTGGTCAAGGGTTTTCATCATGTATTTTATCAGAAAGGGGAGGAAAAAATGGTTTAGGAGAGAGAAAACCCATCGGCATTGGAAATTAACTGAACAAATAAGATTAATTCTCTTAATTAACCTCCTACCCAAAGCGTTATGGCTTGGATTTGCCCTCCAATGGTGATTAACTCTGGCGTAGATCGAGGGTATCTGTGCCAGAGCTGTGTTGGTTAAGATTTTCCAAGCACTGGAGTGGGAGCCCAACCTGGACACCATCGGTCTACGTTGGCCAAACAAATCCCAAATACTTGCAGCCAGGATGGCAAACACCGGAGACGTTGGATTTGGGGAAAAGCAGTCAAAAAGAGGACAAAAGCATTTAAAAACTCAAACGCAAAAGCAACCCGCGCTCCTCCACATCCACCAAGCCATTGTTTGGGGAGAAATGCTCAAAAAAGAGCATTTTCCGCTCTATTGGAAGCTGGCTTTGCCAGAGTGAGAGCAGCACAGAGGACATTTTGGCACCTCTCTAGGTTTTAATTAGCCCTGCTCATTGAAACAAGGAGGGTTTGGCACCGGCGCACCCCGAAAATTCCAACCTTACGTCTCACATCCCCACTGCCACGCTCCGGAGGGATCCGAGATCATCCCTATAAATCATCACCCGAAATACAACCTGGTCAAGAATCCTGCTATCTGGTTGAGGATCTATCATCAGCTTGGGGTGGGGGAGAGAATTTTAAATAAAACGCAGTTTTGGGATTTGTAGCACATGGGTTCAGTGGGAAAATTTTATCGCATGGGTTCCATTTGGAAATGGGATGCCGGGATTAAGGCTCTGGATCTGGGATGAGTTGATGTTGGCCAAGATTAACGTGACATGGTAAGGTGGGTCGTGATAAACTGGTCGCTCTGGTTTATTTTGGTTGATGTGATCGTAAGTTTGGCAGAAATAAAGATGAACTGGATAAAAACTTGTTTAAGAGCATAAACAGCCGGTTTTGCTTTCCCCCATCAAGCCAGGGCAGAATTTAGCAGCAAATAATTTGATTTTCTGATTGCCAAGAGTCAACCCTAAACACTCCATCAAAACCTCTTCTGGAAAAAAAAAAAAAAAAAACCAAACCAAGCCCAATTTTATTAAAAATACATTAAAGTAGGTAAATATGTTCAAAGATAACAGACTCCGGACTTCTGCCAGACAAACACATCCCTAAAAAGTGGAGAATCGCTGGGAAGCATTGCCAGCGCTGGCTCAAAGGCGAGTCCAATCGATCCTGATTTATTTTGGGGGGTTTATTTATTTTTTTTTTAATTTCTGTTCCTTTTTTCGGTGCTGTTTGCCCTATGCACCCAACCCCACTATGAAAATAAATCCAGATTATTTTCTGCCACGTGCATCTCCTGATTTCCCAACCCACTGGAGATGCAAAAGTCTTACCGTTGACTTAAGTGCTGGGGTAAGCCCAGCTTAACCTCCGGAGTCCAAGCTGAGTTAGCCAGCTAGGAGGAAAAAACAGCTTTAAGTGACGGCACAAGCTTTGCTTCCCTAAAACCAAGGAGGGAACACTAACGAGGAAAGTGTAATAATTAAGAAGAATGTGAGAACAGCTTCATTTAAGCCTGAATGATGGTGGTATGAAGGAAAAGCAAAGAGTTACACAGAGCAAACACCGCTCTGGTGATTTAAAATTTAATTTTAAATCCTTTTTTCTCAATATCTGCCCAATGCCATAAAATAAAAACGCTTTTACATGTAAAACCCCATTTCCTCCGTCCTTCTCCATCCTCTGTGGCGCGAGCAGTGCTGGCGACAACATTTAAAAACCTCTCCTTTGAGGGAAAAATACAGCTTTTTTCTAAAAATACAAATCTAGGTCATTAACCAGACAAAGAGCTACCTTGGCGCATGCTGCTTTTTTGGATCCCGCGCTCACGTCAAAGTTCAGCAAGGAAAAGCTTATGAAAAATTATTGTGTTGGGCCAGAGACAACATCACTACCGCCAAGTTGTCCGTGTCAAGCCCAAAAACGAGCAACATGCGGCTGGGTATATTTGTTTTTTCATTATAAAGACAAAAAATAAAATAATTAAAAGACCGAGCCAGGAATGAAAACATATTTATTTATACAGAAACCAGGTCTAGGACTGAGTCGTTAAATAAGCTGCGTCTAACCTGTTTCTGAATCTTCGCTGTCGGAGGAGCTGGACTCGCTGGTGCTCTCAGACTCTGAGGAGGAGAACCCCTTCATTTTAGAGGAACCAGCAATTACATCCACTTTCTCCGCTGCAAGAAGACAACAGTACGACATCATTAAAGGCTAATTAACAACTCCGAGTCCTGCCTGCTGCTGCCTGCTCCTCCCATACTGACACCAGCAGCCACCCTGGGGGCCGTGCAAGACCTGGGGCATCTGGATATTCCTGCGGATGGGCTGAGCTGAGCTTTAATCCTGCACCTCTGCTTATTTCTATCGCTGATCTGCGCTAGCTGGGACGCAGCGGGGTCTCTGAGGTCTTTGGGGTGATGATTTTTTATGGGGTGGAGTGCGATGGGGGTGTCCCCCTCCATCACCATCCAAAGCGGGATGGGGACGTACTGATGGGAGCCAGCTGGGATTTAAGCCCATCCCAGCAGACGTCCGGCCGCATGACACACGCTTGCTTGCTCGAGCGAGGTCATTCTTAATCCTCCTAAACCCCTCTAGGGTAGAGAAGTCTGGTTTTACCCAGCCGCTTTAGGCTGGCCTAAGACCAGGGTTTTTTTCTCCTCCACCCTGCCTGTGCCCAGCCACAAGCCAGTGCTTAATCTTGCGTGATATGGGGTTGAAAACTTGCTTTTTTTTTTTAGCTGCCTCAACTTGTTGGTCTAAGGAGGTGGCAGGAGGCTGAGGCAATGGAAAAGTATAAAATTGCCTTTTTTTTTTAACAGCTTAAATGATAAGAAAAAGGTGGCTACTGCCTAGGAGTTGCTCAAGCTACCAGCGATGTTGAAGCCCTTTACTAAACCCCTAAACCAAAGGAAAAAAAAAAATTACATCTTTTGCTAGGGAATGGAAGGATAGAGAAAGCTTCTAGGATTTGGCCGAGTTTGTTTTTCACTTGGTTTTATCCCAGGAAGTAATCATTACCCCTTGGCCATGGGAAATCAAGAGATTCCCTTTAAATTCCCTTATTTCTCCCCCTGTCGCTGCCAGATCCCTTTTTGCTGTGGGCAATTTATGTAAAAAAGTATTTAGCTGGTCTTTGGCCATTAATAAAGATGTGTATTTATTATAGAAATATATATTTTAAAAATAAAAATGGGTATAAATATATATATACCTAAATGGAATTTATGGATATAACAAATGGATACGAAAATATATTTAAAATAGATTTAAAACAGATTAAAATAGATTTAAATGGATGAAAATATATTAAAGTGTATCAAAATATCCATTAAAAAATAAAAACCAGATCTATTAAAAAAGGGGAAAAACCCTCTTCAACCTCCAGAAGTGGAGGTGGGAGGCGCAGAGAATCCCTCAGCCCGAATCCTGCCAAGTTCCAGAGCAAACCCCCTGCATCTGACATCCGTCCAATACGCCAGCATCCCAAGGATGCCGAGGGGGGAGGAATTGGTTTTCCCCCACCTCGCCTCCGCTCCCTGCCCCAAAACAAATCTCTGCCACTCATCAGAAAGATCGTTAACAGGTTTAAGAAAAATAGTTTGCGTCAGATTGAAATGAACCACTTGCAGCTCTTTGTAAAGATACAAATTGGAATTAAAATATGGACATTTTGGGGTTAATATAGGAATTGGCGGCCTCCTATCAGCACCACCAAATTCCAGCCCCGCGGCAGGATTTTATACATGTATTGATGCGTCATTAGAGAAATGGTCAATTAAATGAAATTAAAAAAATAAAATAAAATCCTCTTTTTCACTAGACTAGGTTATCGAGCACCTAAATACCTGCACCCATCTTTTTTCCTGCCTGCCTCTGTCTTGAGCCTGGGAAAGCATCGTTGGAATAAGGAAAAAACCTGGTTTTGAGGCTAAAAGGTACCTTGAGGTTTCCTCTTCTTCCGTAAACACGACGTTACGTATCTCTCCAGCTCCCGTAAAGTGGATGGTTTTAACGTCTCAAAGTCAATCTCAATCTCATCAGGATTGGAGTTTTTGAGCGAGGGTTCTCTCGACTGGATGATATGGACAACTCGGCCCAGTTTCTCACCGGGGAGTTTATTAATGTCCAGGCTCAGCTGCCTCTTCTCCTCATAGGACATGGGTTTACACTTCTCCTCCTCCTCAGACTCGTAGGCTGGAGGGGGCTTGCTGTTCTTCACCGTCACAGGCTCCTTCTTACTACTTAAGAACAATTATAAAATGTTATTATAGAACAGACCAAAAAGCAGCCGCCTGGGTCTAACCTCTTAAATTTAACCACTAAATCACTCTATTTTTAGTATTTTTACTTTCCACCCTGGAAACAAGCATCTTTTTCATTTACGGCTTGAGCTTGAAGCTCAACCACGAGGCTGGGATGCACAAGGCTGAGCTCAAGCTGCTGTTGGACAAGAAAGCTGAGCTCAACCTGCTGTTAGACAAGAAAGCTGAGCTTAACTTGCTCTTGGACAAGACGACTGAGCTCAACCCGCCGTTAGACAAGAAGGCTGAGCTCAGCCTACTGTTACGACACCCAAGGCTGAGCTCAACTTGATGTTAGACAAGAAAGCTGAACTCAACCTGCTGTTAAGACACCCAAGGCTGAGCTACCCATCCCAGTGCTCGCTCTCCCAAAGAGATGAGCAGTTCCATGAGATAATTCAGAAAAGCAGGAGCAGCTCCGGAGGGGAATTCCTTACATCCTCACTTGGATGGACCAAGGCTCAACTGATGCTGCTCATTTCTCACCAGGAAAGGCAAGAGGTTGGGGTGTTTCAGAGCTTGACACCCCCCAGAGAAGTAAAACCCAGCATCCGTAAAAAACATATGTTCATAAGAAGGGGAAAGAAACAGCTATGGGGACTCCTAGACATCACCGTCAGGGTTATCCACACTTCAGGCACTTCAGAACTGATGGAGGTAGATTTGTAGACATTTATCCTACCATTCACAGCGGATGCAGTGCTAAGGCAGTTAATAAATGACATCTGGGTAGAAAATTACCCCAGAATTGGTAAAGGATGAGGTTAATGGTGTCACAGACGGTCCATTTCCCTAAAATAATCCGCTGCCGTGCCCACTGGGGTTTATCCAAAGTCTGAACACACTAAACGTTGTGGTGAAGCCTGGGGACAGAGACAAGCTCCAAGATCTTGCTCGTTATTTCCTTCTTTCTTAATTTCATCTCATTACATCTAAATATGCCAAACAACTCCCTTTTTGCCTCGGGTTAAATACCAAGATCCTGCCTCCCCTTTGAGCCAGCAGCTGACAAGCGGTAGAGACTTGGCTCTCAGCATCTTACCTCTTCATTTAAAACCTACAGCTTTCAAAAAAAAAAGGAGAGGGAGGAAAAATTAGAGGATTCAAAGATTTGAGATCCAACAGAGCGACTCCACATGATTTTTTTCTTTTTCCTCTCTGCCGTACTTGGCATGCTCACAGCAGCCATGCGGAAAAGCATCAGCCCCCAAAAATGAAGCTAAACTCATGGTTGGGACTTGACCTTGAGCAACGCCTCCGGAGGTGAGGGGCTTGCTGCGAGTCAGCCCTACCAAAGGTGCTACTCGTCAAGAATCCTGTGTATAATTAAGGTAATTAGCAAAGGGGAAATAAAAATATATAAGTGCTGCGCGGTAAAACAGAAGCATTAGGTGACGGAAGAGGGACAGGGCTGACCTGGAGGTACTGCTGTTGCTGTTGCTTTTCTTGGCCTTCTTGGGTGGCGGTTCCTTGGCTTTGCTTTTCTTGGTGTCTTCCAGCTCTTCCTTCTTTTTGTGCTTCTCTTTCTTCTTCTCCTTCTTGTCTTTCTCTTTTTTCTTTGGTTTGTTCTGCTGTGGCTGGGACAGGGCTGCAAGCTGTTCATGCACTGCTTTAAGCTGAGAGGCAGACACATACAAAGATCAAGATACTTTTGCCCAGCACCTCCTCCTTTTCCATATTAATTAGCTTTTTTCTCTACTGCCTAACGCTTTCTTATCTTTTAGTATTAATTAAGTCGGTTCTTCCAGCTTTTCATCACACTCTGATTTCTGTATATTGAGGTGTTGACCACTGCAAGAGGAAGGAGACAACCTCTTTATGGGTATTTCTCCCCACTAAGGCAGAAGAGGGCTGCTTGCTTCATCAGCACTAGTGATGCTTTAATTACCAGCGCTAACAATGCCACGAACAGGGAAGATGCGGGAGATAAAGCTACAGGTTGGAACACTGCTTGTTATCTCATGGGCTTCCCCCACGCTGGGTAAATACTTGCTCCAGCCCACGAGTTCAGGCAGCCCTGGGGTATCCTGCCTGCTCAAGAGCATCCTGCCTGCTCCGAAGACACCACCTGAGCGCAGGCAGCAAATTCCTGCCGTTGGGGACCATCCTGAGCATCCTAACAGCAACTGGAAGGACCATCCTGAAAAGCACCGATTCCTTCATTTATCACTTTAAAACTAACAATTTTGGAGCGCTTTGCAGCTGATGGCCACTACTGTACAACTAGAAAGTCCACGGCTTTAAGCAATGTCCCCGAGGCCCCCAAGTTCAAGAAGAAGGACACGTTGGACACCCCCAATCCATCACGATAGATGTGGTACCTGTTCCTGGAGCTCCGCTAACCGCTGAGCTCGCTCTTCCTCGGAATCATCCGATGAGCTGTCGCTGTCGGAGGAACTATCACTGCTGCTATCGCTAGATGAAGGGGGAGCCACCTTGGTGGGAGGTGGCACCACCACGGGAGAAGAAGCTGGAATCACAGGTTCTTCTGGTTCATCCGGCATTTTGGCAAAGCGCATTTCGAACACATCCTGCAAATACAGGGAAAAATAACATAAGGTTTGGCAAAGCGGGACACTACAAGCGTGGTTGTGATCTCCAGGGTGTTCCCTACAGATTTGTGGTATCTACCCAAGCAATCAACACACCGTGTGTCGCAGAGAAGATAATCTTCTGAAAGCTCCAAGTCCACTTGGAATTTTGACCGTCTCCAAGATGGTTTGGGAGGAAAAAGTTTACCAGCAAGAAGGGCAAGACTAATTTAAAAACCCGCATCATCCAGGTTCTTGAGAACATCTACATCTTCTCCTGCAATGGATTCGCAGAGAGCTCAAGGCAGGAATTGCGGCCACAGCTCTGCAGCCGCAATCCCCTCTCCTCTTCAGCCTGCCTGGATTTTCCCAACCCACGTCCCAAGAAAACCACCTTGATTCAACCCAAACACTTGCGCAAAGATGCTTCCCATTATCCTCAAGAGCAATGGGTGCGAAGCCAGTTTAATTCCAGTTATCCCAATGATGTGAAAGTCCTTTTTTCTCCTAAAGCCCGATATGAAAATCCATTTTCATTTAAACCTAAGACAAGGCAGATAAGGTGGGACAGCCTGGTTGTATTTAAACCTGGTTGTATTTCTCAGTGCCTGCTGAATTTATTTGAAGGAAGGGTTTTGAACATGCTTTTTTAGTTTCCCTGAAGAGGAACGAGTGCCTCTTGCATCCAAAAAGAGATTTTTTTTTCCCCGAGGTGCCACCTTGTGAAGGGCAAAGCACTTGCAGACAAAAATGCCATTTTTTTGCACTTCCTACAAGACAAGGGAGACCTGAAACCTGGCTCAATTCACCCCTTTTTAGGTCTTTAGAAGTCAGGCACTTATTTCTGAGCTTAGCAACTCGCCCCAGGCTCCTTTTAGAGCCTGTAAGGAGAAGGGCAACTCCCACAAGATGACTCAGGCGATGGTGGGAAGGACAGCCTGAAGGTGGCACAAGTGTCAGCGTCCACCTCTTCAGTACCGAGTCATAAAAAAATAAAAGATAATTTCTCCTCCTGCCTGAAGGTTTGACTTTCAGTCTACAGTTACTATTTATTTTTCCTATTTTCCATGTCCTGGGCGTGCGGCTGAGACCACAAACCCACCAGACAAGGTCTGTGCCTTATTTCTAAAACTCTACAGACTGTAAACAGTAACTGTGTGCATGTTCATATGGATTTATACAACTTATCCAAAATTCTTCAGCAAGTCAAACACCCCGTGATATCAAATCACACTGATTTAACTCATCGCTTGAGCATGGGAGCGGTATTCTCATGCATGAAGGCTTCCAGTTCTTCTAGCTCAGGCTCATCCTTGTGATTTTAAGGACCTGTTGGGCTCTCCCCTACCTCAGCATACATTATTTTTTCCACCCTCCTTCTTAAATGTGAGCAGGCGGAGTGCTGCTGGACTGCATTTCTCCATTCTCAGCCTCCTCGTGCCTTTATTCAGGGCTTTTTTCAGCAGTGACAGCTTTTCCAGATGCTGTAGATGTTGCTTTGCTGCTTCCATCTGCTGGCAGAAATGCCACTGACTTCCATTTACGTGCTCAGGCTCAAATTTCAGGGGAAGGAGCAAAAAAACGCTGGAGGAAAATGAGAGATTTCCAAGCTCCTCCAGCAACGGCATCGCTTGTGGGATGATGGAGGCACACACATATATTTGTCACTGAATCACTGCACTTAATGGGTGTTTACAACCTAATTATTGTTTTCCATGAACCAGAAAGTCCAGTCCTTGATTATCACCAGCAGGCAATGCCACACCACTGCATACAATGAATTTTTAAATTCTCTAGGGTCAGAAATAAAACCTTCCTATTTTTTTATACCTATCTAGTCTTCTAATTAACAGGAAGGCTAATTTAAAGTTATTTTGTGTGAAGTTAAAAAGCAATCTATCAACTCTGAAGCATCTGGGTTATGAAAAACCAGCAGTGTCTGAAGGTTCCCTAGCAATGCACGCAGGAAAGCATGGAAGAGAAAACCCCATGAGTAGATAACAAGCTAATTAATGCCTTTTTAATCAAGGGATTCTTACTGCTACTGTTTTGTACATCACCAGTACCACTGACCCATCCTCGCTTGGACAAACATAAATCATAAACCTCTTCTGTGAGCTGGTGTTAACCCTGAAAATCCAAGAAATCATTTACTGATGATGAAATGGTAACAAAAAGCAGAAAAACGAGTTATTTCAGCAGTTGATGTTTCCAGGACGGAGGGGTAACGCAGAAGGCAGCGACCGGGGTGGTCTATTAAGCAAGACGCCGTGTATATTGTTTATGGGAGCTCAAGTCCAAACTTGAATCCTCAGCCTTGTTTGCAAACCTCAGCAGCACTCCAGAAACCTCCTTTTAAAAATTTTATTTCTGAAATCAGTTTTCTGGGCACAGGAAAAGCAAATGGAGAGGCTCCACCTTGGTCTCAACCAGGTGGGGGGCGGGATCCAACTGGTATTTTGGTACCCACCTCCATCGCATCGCTGCTAAGGGGCTGCTCTGAAATTTAATGACCATTTTCTGGGGACTATTACATTCAAAAAGCACTTTTATATTACGTCAGAAATAAAGTTTCCCGAGTGGTTGCTCTGTGCAGGGACGTGTTCCCGAGCTTGTCCATGGGACTGATGCGGGTGAAATCCTGATTTTATACAGCCCTTGGTCCAGACGGCGTCACCTGGCAATGCTGGTCGCTGAGGATTTTCCCCCATAAAAAGGGGTGAAAGAAAAGAAAAAATCACAAGTTTCCATGAAACTCTTCAGTGCTCAGCAGCCTGCAACAAGAGTGACCAGAATTTCAGATTGGATATCACCCTTTCATTCTGGTGTTGGCTGGAAAATGCTCCAAGACATCAGTTAAAGAGGCTGCGAAGTTCTTCATTAGACCAAAACAAGAAAAGCAGCCAGAGGGTGAGCATCGTGTTTTCCAGGCATCTGATTACCACGAAATCCAGAAAAAGACATAAGATGATGAATTCTACTGAATTCATGCTAAAAGCAAGCTGAAACACACATTTACTCAGCATGTACTCATCTCAAATTAAACCGGCCCAAACCTGAGCTGTATTTTTCCAAAAGCATCACAAAAAAATAAATGTGTCTAAAAACTGAGAACACACATGCTGGCTTTGCTGCCGCTTCGTTTTCTTGACCCTTTTGTCGCAGCTTCACATCTGGATCGAAGCAAAACAGCCAGCAGCTTTTTCACGAGCCGATACTTTCATCGAGTGAATTTCCTTCAACGTTAGCGGAGGGGGAAGCTGCATCACATGGAGGTTTTTACATGAGGTTTCCAGTTAGGAAAACCCAGCAAAGCTATTAATATCCAGTTTCACCTTTTTTGGGGGTTGTATCTCGAATCAAACATCCTGCAACCTAATAGTTTTCCCCCCAATTTAATAGCTTTTCCCCCAACCTAGTAGTTTTTCCCCATCTCTCCAGTGCTTTCTGGTGTAACTCAGATCCCTTCTCGACCTGTTTTCTGAAGGTTAAAGCAAACCACGCTGCTTTTCTTCTCCTTTCACACAGTGAGAGCTCCACCGCTGCGTCATTCCACACCGCTGGAGTTGCACTTTTCTATGCTAATAAAACCTCTTCCCTTACGGATTTGGTTCCCGTGTCCTCACACACGTCTCGCGTCCTGCCAAGCCCAACCTGCATCCACTCTTTGCCATGGTCGAGGCATCTTTCCAGTGTCCAGCACGCAGCTCCACACGTTATTTTGGAATTTCACAGAAACTCCCGGCCGCTCCGTTGGTATCAAATGTGACACATTGAAGTTATTAAGGAGGGACCGAATGATGTACAGCAGGAGACCTTATTTCTTTAGAAGACAACAACTGTGCCCACGATCCTCCCAAGGCAAAAAAAAAAGGAGAAATCAGCATTTAAGGGAACGAACTGCCTGAAATCACAGATATGGGGGATGCCTGAATGTTTTTAATGATAGGTGTTGAAATGCTTGGGTCAAAAAATCCAATGTAGGAGCTCTTTGTCCCCTTGCAGTGGTCCTCTGCGGCTGCTGCAACCTTCTTCAGCACCGAAAGGAACTTGGTCTTTTCCAGATCTGCTCGGAGCAAAGTGCTTTTCCCTGCTTCAGCCAGGCGACCCCATGTAGCAGCTCTGATTCACCAAGAAACGAGGGAATCAAGACAACTTTTTGGAGTATCAGAGTGCATGCATTAAGCTAAGCACTTCACTCGAGACTTGGAGCTTCTTTAGTAGCTAATTCGTTCATTACAAACCTTTCAGAACGAGTGGAGAGCAGAAAACTTCACCGTAAGAATGAAGGAAGAGGTAACTAAAGCAGCACAACACAGCAGGTACTGTCGCTTATTTTCCCTCCAAGTGTTTTGAGAAGTAAAGTGACATTTTGGAGCCACACTTTTCCTTCCTACTCTTGTATCAAAAAGCTAAGAGGACACAAAGAAGATGCTATTAAACAAAATAAGAGTTTAAAGGAGCAAATTGGGCTGAGTCAGCCCGCTCCTTGTATCACTTGCGCAGCAAAAAGTATAATTTTTTTAACCATTATCCACCACGCTGGCATTTTTTTAATGTCATTTCAAGACTACGTGGCCCTTCACGGTGGAAAATAAATCAAGAGAGATGCCGGTGTTCATCAGAAACCGAAGCAGGCTGCAACAACGCACATCCTTACCTGCAGCTTCCGTGCCATGGCCACCACCTCGTGATCAGCGGGGTTGTATTTATAGCAATTGGAGAACATCAATCGTACGTCCGCCGCAAATTCCTGAGCATCTCGGTATTCCCGGTTCTCCAGTTTAGACTAGAAAGGAGAGGAGAGGAAAAAAACCCAACAAAAGTCACTATTAACAGTGCAAATACATCAAATCGATTGATTCATTAAGTACAGCTCTGTGGCACCCACAGATTTTGCACACCCATTTTCCTCCTACACTGGAATGACTAATTGTGGTCAAAAGAACGACTAATTTTGGTCAAACGAAGGATTGTGGATGGTTTATAAAAAAATAAGAGCTGACTACGGGCATCCTCAATGATGTTCAAAAGAGGATTACCTACTTTCTAAGCCACCTTCTCACTGTCTGTGTGGTTGATAGCAGCTAGGCGTTTTGGATGAAGAACAGAACGGGGATGCTTCAACACCGATGAAGAGCAGTGTTGAAGGCCAGGAGTACGAACCCTGGCTCTACCTGACTTAACCAAGAAGGGCTAAACCTCCATGACTGTGTGTTGGCAGAAGAATACGGTGAGCTTTGCTCAGATCGTTCCCCTAGAAGGAAGATCTCAAGAGTTGCCTTAACGGTGTAGCCTGGTTGGAGGGACAGAGGACACCAGGATGGTCCTTCACCCAACGATGGAAGAAGATGACAGGCTTTGTTGATGCAGGGGCCAGGTTTTAGCCATCCTGCCTGCTTTCAACCATCCACCCTTCCTCCAGGAACCAAGCTGGTGTCTCTAGAGCTTGGAGCTCCACCCTAGGAAAGCACAGACCTGCTCTACGGCTACCTGCTCCTGTCCCAAGCCTATGTGCAGCTGGGAGGACTGATACGGGTGGAGACAGCCTTGAGATGACCCCTCATCCTTCCAAATGCCGCGTCCAGCTGTGGCAACGCCAGCTGAGCCAAGAGAAGTTTCATGCCTCCTTCTCCCTCCCTGGGAAAGCGGGGTTGAGTTGGACAACTGGAAGACGGAGAACATTCAACAGCTGTCCTGGCAACTTCCGCCAAGGGTGACCTCAGACTCACAGCCCTGCCAGACAGTTGGGCAGCAAGATGTACAGGCAGCAACGGATGTGCAAGACCTAACGCTCGCCACCGGCCAGTCCGGAGGAGAAAGCCAAGAATTTAATTTGGCATCCTCAAGGTTTGGCCGACCAAGATCCTACAGGTCTGAAACGCCATGACAAAGGAAGAGCCATGATCCTCGCTGGCTTCGGCCCTGGTGTAACCTTGGCAAGGAGTGAGCTGTGGGAAGGAAAAACTCACTCCTTTGGTTTTAAAACACAGGCCCAAACTGGGCAAAGCAGGAGTCAGAGCTAAACTTAAACTGCTTGCACACAAATTCATCCTGTAGCTAAAAAGTTTGAGATGTCTAAATAATGAATTAAGGTTTGGGAACTAAAAACTTAAAAGACTTCTACATACAGAATTAAGGTTTCATAGCTAAAGTTAGACTTCTAAATCATGAATTAACACTTCAAAGGGAAACATGGATGACTCTGCAGTCACTTAAAATTAAATAACTCCAATAATGAATTAAAGTTTCAAGGGGAAGCATGGATGAATTTGCAGTCGCTCTTTAAAATGAAGCAATTTTAAGCTAGAGTGAACTACCTGTGCTTAACAGAAGACCGATTTAGACAGACAACTTCAGAAAGACAGGCCTTTATTTTAAAAAAAAATGAAAATGGGGTTGGTTTATATCAAATCCCCTTATTCCTGTGATTTATGCTCTCTGAGGCCATCTCCTGGGCTAAATAAAAAAGGGTAGATTTATACAGTAATGGAAATTTTCTATAAAAAACTCGTGTGAGCGTTTCTAAGAGCCCTTCTGGAAGGATGCCAACTTGTTTGTTTTTTCCCAAATGTCAGGATAACAGCAAGAGGAGAAGAAGAGAGACCGAATGTACCAGAAACCTACGGCCAAAATAAATCTGGCAGACATCTGAATACGCCTGGTGCGCACGCGCAGGGAGAAAATGATCTTTTTTTCTGCTCCGACCCCGACCTCCCCCTCCTATAAACCTGAGCTTACTTTGATTGTGCTCAGATCCATGGGATGTTTAATGATATCGCAATAATCGTGCAGTCCCAGTGCTTCCACATCCACAGGTTTGTAGAAGGGCCAGGCATAGGCAGCGTGTTTCTTGGCGAACATCTCTTTGATGATCCCACTGCAGTATTTTAACTGCTCGGATATTTTGCTACTCTTTTCTACCACGTGTTGTTGAGAGTCTGGAACGTCCTTCTTTGGAGGCTTGACCGGGCGGCTGCTTTCCCGGCGTGGACCCAGCTTGGTGGACTTGGGTTCGGCGGGCAGCGATGACGATTCATGAATTGGGTCGATGGTTGTTGGTGTCGTGGTGTCTGCTTTCCTCTTCACCCCTTTTTTTGTCTATAACCGAGCAAATAAAGCAATATTACTTTTGGCACCATACTTTTGGCTTCAACTGAGTTGTGTTTCTTGTAGCGTTCACTTGGATTCGCCATCGCTAGTCACTCAAGCCTCATGGCAACGCTACGAGAAGAACATTGGAAGCCGTTCCAAAAATATTGAGATAATGTTGGTCTGTACCGAGTTCTACAGAAAAACATATAGATTATCCCTGTTGTACGAGCAAAGGTCAAGGGCGTGAGTCACTTCAGCAAGTCAAGATTTTCTTCCTGAGTCATATAAAGCTTAAGGAAGGAAGGTTTTAAGAGGATGAATGGGGTTTCCACGCAAACCCAGGTGGAATTTGTCACATCTAACCTTAACTTGTGTCAGAGAGGGTCACCCTAGGCTCCTCACGTTTCTCAAAACATGAATGTTTTGACCGAACTGCAGCCATTTGCCTTCAAATGCGACTCCAGCCACAAAGCAAAGGGCGACCACTTGACCGACCGTGGTGTTTCAACGCCTTGAAGATAATCTAAGCCATTGTGTTATGATATTTAAGGAATTACTCACCTTCACGGGCTGGGCGGGTGTTGGGATAACAGGAGGGTGAGTCTGGATGGGCTGGGGAGCCGGAGCTGGCGGTGCGGGGGCCTGGGGAGCAGGCGGAGGAGGCGCAGGAGGTTGAGGAGGCACCATCGTCATTACTGGGGTCTGGACGATGAGGTCGGGGGTGACGGAAGGAAAGGAATGAGTCGTCTGCGCAGACTGGAGGTTTTGCTGCGGCGCCTGTGTCTGCGCCGGGGACGATGCTTGGGTTGCGTTTGGTACTGTGGATGATCCTGGTTTGGATGTCACTGCCAAGAGAAAAGAAAGAAAGGGTTGCTTCTCCCTTCAAACTTAGTTGTTTTAACGGGAAAACAATTAATGTTTCGTAATACCACCATTTAAAGCACATTCCTCATTAGACAATTAATATCTTGCAGTTCCTGTTCTTGAGCAACCAGTCAGGGACAAACACTCGCCACATTTTCCTTCACGAGGATTATTTTTATGACTCGCTAGGTGAAATAGTGAAGCAGCTCAGGACCTTACTGTGCCAAAACCCCTCCAGAAAAAGACCAAGATCAGGCAAAAGGCATCCTCCTCTCTTCCCCTTCCCTTCCCACAAGATTTCTTGCAGGCAGGGCAAGGAGTCAAGCACATCTTTTCCTGCCTACCCTTTTTTCCTAGGCAATGGTTCTTGACTATCAGTATTTTGGAGCCAAAACTGGGCAGCTCTTCCTTCAGGAGCAATTTTGTGCTCTATTATCAAGGTGAGTTTAATTCCTGGAGACTTAAATCCTTGCAGCTGATACTATCCAGGGGAAATCTCTCCCAACGGCTGGAGAGCAAGGTCCTCGTTAGAGGATTTCAAACACAGAGCAACCCTAAAGGTTGGGACACGAGATTGGAAACGTCAGCGCTGTCCTTGGACCTTCTAGCGTCGCTGGACAAGTCACCTCCCTGCTGAAGCTGCTGCTTTGTGGGGCAAAGCTCTGATCAAGCTTCCGAACTTTCCGCCGTGATGAAACACCCTCCAAAGGGGAATGCTGCAAAGCTCAGATGATGCCGGGACACACCACAAGGCTTCCAGCAGACCTTCAAGATGGAGGTATGAGCAAAGTGGGATCAACCCCAAAGTCCAGAGAAGGTTTGTGATCAGCAGTTATTACAGGAGCACCTTCTGTCAGATATCAAATGCACCTCATTAGCAATAATCGGATTTATATCTTCAGCAAGGAGACAGCTTGGTACCTTTTAAAACATGGCGACTATCCTTTATGCTCACCCTGAGCAGAGAGAAATTCTACCACTCAATCTGTACCTGTGCTCACCTCCCAGGCTGCAGACTGGAGTCTGGCTGCTCTTTCACCGCTCTCTCAACAAGGAGACTCTCCCGAGCGTGACACGTTAGCTGTGTGTCCTGCCCTGCCAGCTATCCAACACCTCTTCCAAGAATCACTCCCCAAAATTAACTAATTACAGAAGAAATGCAGCCAGATTTGTTTCCAGTCAGTCCCCAGGAGCTGCAATTATTGCAATCCCACTAGAAGAACGTTGCATGTTAACAGATGCTCAACTATGACCGCTAGCGAGCTTATTTCTACTAAAGCCAAAACAGGAACCTATTCAGAGAATAAAATTGGGGAGTTTTCATCCCGTTCTCCTTGCAAAATGACAGCGGAGTCCTGATGTCTCCAAATAAGGTGGGGACTTGCAGCCAGAGGGATCCTGGGGTCCTGCTGGGATCCCTGGGTCCTGCTGGGATCCTGTGGCTCCTGCTGGGACCATGAACCAGCTCTGCATTGCGTAGGCAAAGCCAATATATTTCACCTCCCACATTACACAGGAGCTTGAGATTTCTATTAGAAACCTGGGGGGGGGGGCGGGTTGTAGCAAAGCTTTCCAGCCAGCATCACACCTGGTTTTTAATAATTTAACCCCAAATCAGTTATTATACACTGAATTATTTACTGCGCAATATGATTTAACAGGAGGCGTAGCAGACTAGAGCAAAATGATCTTGCAGGTCGCCAAATAGATATTCTAGATAGCAAATATATAGTTATTACATTATCATATTATTCTATTATTCTATACAGTAAATCACAACGTAGAAGCACCAGGTGTGGGATGCCCCAGACTACATACGGGCCATACAGGCTTTCCAGATGAACCTACGGCTCTCTTTGGAGAGCTGGTCAATACTATAGGTGAAGAGCTGGAAGGTGATGAGCTCAGGTGGGGACCTACACATTATATATGCTACAGGATCGCGGTAGAGGAAAGGAGACCCAAGTTTGTAAGCGCCTCTCTATGCCGTGTAGGTAAAAAGATCTTCTCTACTGGTGATTTCATCACTTCTCCTTCAAAGAGATGCTGAGAAAGGTGATGGCCAATAATTTTCTAACCAAGGAGAGCTTCTCCCTGCACACAGTAATGGAATATCAGGGACAGTGCCTAAAAAAAATAACAAAAAAAATCTCAGCTACAAGAAATCATGACTTGGTCACGCACAGGACAGAAGCATCAATTGGGTTTGTTGGTGCTTCAAAACCTGGATTTCACGAAGCCAAAAGGACTCAATGACACGGAGAGAAGGAGAACTATAGTCATGCAAGAAAAACATGCGTGGACACGCGCACAGTCCTGTAACAGAGAGAGACACGGACGGTAAAAAATTGCCAAGGGAAGGGAAAAGAAAATAAAGCCAAAATAATTAAAGCAGTTTGAAATGTTCAGCTTTACGACCCTTTTTTTGTTTCTCGGTGTTTTAGATGAAAAGATATTCTGAAAATGGTACAAAGTCCCTCTTCGCAGAAAGATGATGATTGTCAGTAATAGATCGGGGAAGACTCAGGAGATTTAGTAAATACTGCTGCTCTGAATTTGCACTCACTGTCCGTGTGATGGCAGTACAGAAAATGTTTTCTCTTCCAACAGCTACTGAGGATATTCAACAGCAACTACTGAAGTCCCAGTTCCCCTCTAATTACCCGACAACTGGTCCCCAAACCCTTCCAGGGTCGACCCTCAAGCTCCCTGGTTATCTCCTGCTGATTTTCCAATAAACCTTGGAAAATAACCTGTTGGCATCCCAGCACCACCAGTCTGAGGCTGAGACAAGAAGAGACACGAGGATTCACAGCATTCCAGAAGGGTTGCGAGATGCTCGTGCCAGCTCGCAGGCAGTAAATACAGTGAAAACATTTTTTTTGGTGACACAAGTTCGGGGACACTCCTGCACATGGCATTTTCCTTGGTATTGCAAAACGTTTGGGTTAGAAGAGTAAGAATGATACAAGATGGAGATGAGAGATGTTTAAAAATAAGAAGGGGATCTTGAAAGTGGACATGCAGCTGATGAGGTGCCATTGAGATCAAGTCACAGCCAGGATGTTCTCAACCCTTTGAGGGACAATCTGATGGCGTTGGCAGGTGACGTCGAGCCTAGAAAATGGCTGATATCCCAAAAAATGAGCTAATGAAATCCTTGAGGTATAAACTGGGGAATCGGAAGGTTATTTTACCTCTGGTATCAGTCATATCTATGTCCAGTTATGGTGTCCACAGTTACTGCTGTGAAAAACTGCAGAAGGTTCATAGAAGAGCTGTAAAGGAGGACTAAGAGATTGGAAAAAAACTCTTATAGCCAAAGAATCAGATTTTTATGGAGAACACAGATTTGAAAACAGGGGAGCCTTCAATATAATGACGTTATTTCAGACCAGAAACGTATCAGGAAAACACCTAACTTGGCAGCTAGTTAGCGTGCTCCTTCTCTAAAGGCCAGCAGAGATTTTTTTTTTTTTTACTCTGTATTAGATGTTCTTCTACGGGACAGTCCGTAAATAAATGACTTGGTGGTAGAACTGTGCTTTTATATTACACAGCAGAGAGAAGGTTGGATTAAATGAGAAAAATGGTAATTTTTGATCCCTTAAATTACTAATCTGGGAGCAAAGCTTCAAAAAAAAAAAGCCTACATCATTAACATAAAGTCTTAAGGGATCAACAGACACAAATACAGAACATCATTTTACTGATTTATAACCTTAAACAGGGTTCAAAATGCTGCGGTTCTACTTTATGCAGAGCCTAAAGCATGCAGGTTAATATTTCAGCCCTGTGAAAGAGCAAGACAAGGTAAATTAATCAGTTTGGCTGCAAAAAAAAGGGGGGGTTCTGGGATTCTGGCCAAGCATGGGTCAGGTCTGCACAAAGCGAATTCATCTTCGGGGAGCGGCATTCCACCTCACTTGGGGCAATGCATCCTTTCGAAGGACGGTAAGCTCGTCAAGCATCATTATCTATCCCCAGTTATGGCAAAATTAATAAATGAGGCGTGGAAATTATAATTTGAGGAAGTTCTCTGGAGGACAGCCGTGGGTTGTGATGCTCAGAACTGTTTTCAGATGCTCTCCACACCAGGATTCCCCTGTCAGTCTGTAGCTGTCACGTTGTGATCGGTTCTTCTGGCATCACCGATGCTTTTCTAACACAACGCAGCTTTTTTACGACAGGGAGTCCATAGGGGAGGACGTGAAAAGCAGCTGTGAAACTCTGATACAACAGAATTTATGCTGCTTTTTAACAGCTGTACTTTACCCTTGAGGTACTGCAAGGGATAGTTCATCATCTTGGCTCCCCGACAGCAGAAATGGAACTTTTACTATGGCTCTCAGCTTTTTAACCTTCACGGAAAAGCCAGGAAAGATGTCATTTCACCAGCACTATATATACACGTGCCTTAGCAGTGCTGGATCTACTGCGTTCTGTCCCCAGCACTCCTCCTCCCCTAAAAATGATGCCCAGAAGCCACAGATGAGGGATTTTTAAGACATCACACAGCCCTGCCTTTCATCAGAGAGAGTCTCACGCAGATAGGCAAGAGCACAAGGCAGCTGCCCTCCTTCCCACCCAATCTGAGACTCTCTACACAATAAAGTGAGGCACTGAGAACACCGACAACCACGGCAATCCCATGCAAGGATGGCTGGGTTTAATTAACACCCCAATTAAACACCCCAATTTACATAGGATGAAACCAGGTGCAGGGCTTGTGGTCAAGATGCCGCGTGAAGTTGAGCGTGGCTTAATTACAAACATTGTACGAATAAGCATCATACCTGCTTCCTTCCTTGCACGTCCTCTTCCTTTCGTCTGGGCTATAACGATTTCCGTTTCCTCCTGGGTCATTTCGGAGATTTTCTGCAGGAAAAGCTTTTCTAGAGCTTCTGCCATTAAGACTATGTCATCCCCTGGCTGGAGGAAAAACAGATACGATAAATTAGGCAAGATATATATTTCCAGAGAGAGGACTTTGTATTTTCACCCTCCTTAGTGCTGCTACTTCCATTACGGTGCAGTGGAAAGGCGCACAGGATACTATCCCAAGCCCTGAATGCACAGACAAATCGTTGCCCTAAAGCCCTTGTATTTTATAGGTAAAACCAGGTGATGGGCAGGGAGATCACCAAGGAGACGCCCCGGAGAATAAACCAACACACGGTATTACCTGCATGCGGCAGAGGCTGTTTTCCGAACGAACGGAGGAGGGAAAAGAGGGAAAAAGAAAGAGCTGGATTCATGCCAGCCAGTCATTTCCACCACACGCGATCCCCCTGACTTGGCGGGTCTCATGGGAGAGGTCTTTCCGTAGAGCATCAGGATAGGGGGTAAGAAGAACTCCGCACGAGCTTGCAAGGAAATTTCCTCCTCCAAAAAAGGAGTTTTTTAAGGAGGAAGTTGACAGTTGGGGACCTTTACTTGTTGCTAAATCAGCACAGAAGGACAGGATGGCACTAAACAGTCCTTATAGATCCGGAGGAGAAGCCTGTATTTGCAAAGGTCAAGTAAAACAGAATGGAGGACACCTAGAGAGAATGAGATCTTTTGTCCAGGGGCACCCTGCAGTAGCATAGGTGAGAAGAGACAAGATATATGAGGTTTTGAAGTTGCTTTATGGATAATAATAACATTAGGCAGAGAGGGAAGGGCAGGCAGCAACAGAACAAGAGTCCGGATTGATGCGATGATGATAAACCAATGGCCATCGCTGTCATAGCATGGTGACGCCAAAAGAAGGCAGCTCCAGCTCTGCCATCAGCAGCACAAGGACAGTTAAAACCACGTTTGCCCATCAGATGGCATGCACAAACCTGCCCGGCTGATGGTCTGCAGACCCTGTGAGGTCCACAGAGATGTTTCTATACCTTAGATGCTTTTCTGCCTTCCAGCCTGGAGGAGACCAGCAAAGCTCAGGGAGGACAGGGGACATCAGGGAGAAAGCTGGCAGGGGGAAGACACTGTGGCGGGAGAACATGGCAGAAGACTTTAAGGCGCATATGAGTAATTTGAAGCCTCTAAGAGCCTACCCTCATTCCAGTTGCATCATGCTGGCTCAAACCAGAAAGTGCAATGACCAAGGAAATGGTTTTGAAGGACCCAAACTGCTACCCACTATTTATTTGGAAAAAACTAGAAAGGTCTTGTGTAATATTTCTGAGAGGAGGAGGCAAAAAAGGTCAAAGCACGTGACAGGGATGGAGAGAAAAGACCCGTGAGAAACAAGGAGGACAGAAACCAAATGGGAACCGAAACACTCGGGCAAGCAGAGGAAAGGGTGGAGTGGTCGGAGAAGGAAAAGGACGGAGGGAACGCTGAGGCTCTGACCACGTCTTGCTGACCTTGAGGATGACAGTAAACCCTTTGTTTGTTATCTGCTGTCCTCTTCCTACTTAAGAAGATAGCAAGCGAGCATCTTGTGGTCAGTACAGCCTGGTACCACCTCTGAGAACCTTCTCTAACTCTCCAAGCTGCGCCACCACCCCCGGGTTTCGGCCGACACATTTTTTCCTGCACCCCAGGCGGTTGCACAACTGTTTATAAAATGGTTTTCAGGATGTTTCTCACTGTCTGGAGGGGAATCTTCTACAACGAGGTCAGGGTCAGGCATGACAAACTCAATGTGCTGCTCCGTATATCCCTGGTTTTTTTCCTTACCAGATTTCAGAGTTTCAAACGAGCCTTAAGTCGGCTTCTTAACAAAGCAAGAGAAGATACAAAGCACAGATCTACTTCTCAAGTATTTGTCTGATAACGTTCATGGCTCTGCTCGACAGACCCTAAGAAAATCTTAAAAATTTCCTTTTAAGTTAAAAAAAAAGAAACGAAACAATGTCTAGACTGAAGATATCTGCTAATAATTTTTCCGGGAGGGAAGGCTGCTAAGGCAGCCCTGTCTGCGTCTTGCTTCTCAGCAGAAGACAAGACACGCCTGAGCTCCCATCGGTTTAATCCCGTTTGTTTTCCTAAAGAAGCTGATCTCTGTGGTGGTTCCTTTTAAGGACCGTTCAAACAATGTCTGCATTTCCGCGCTGGTCCATCGAGGACATGGAAGATACCCCTTGGAAAAACGCAGATTCAGGAGCTTTTCGTACCTTATTGTAGATGTAGCAGTTTGTAAACATCGTGTTAAAATCCTGGATACATTCTTGAGCGTTCCAGTAGTAGTTATTCTCCAAGCGTTTCTTTATTGTTCCCATATCCATCGGAGTTTTAATTATCTTATAATAATCCTGCAAATGGCAAAGAGGGAGAGGTCAGTGTGGGAACTAAAACATCCGCCCAGTTTAAGGACCGGGATTCCTCCATCTCACCCCTGGACAGTCCTGGGCAAGATCCTCCATGCCCAGCAGATACTCAGCTGCCAGACTTCATCCCCATCAGCCTCTCAGCTGGCATTTTTAATTAAACAAACCTTTGGTAGAGGAGTAATTTAACCCCAGAGGCATCAAAATTTCCCAATTCTAGGTTTTCAGTTGGTAATGGTGCTGAGTATTTTCTAAAATTCTTATGGGAAACGAATGACCCTTTGCAGGAGGTCACGTTTAATACAGCGACATGAGAAGTGGGGAAATCAGATTTATTACAGCCCATTAAACACATCCAGATTAATACAAAAGAAGTTGTTTCTATTTTTAGGTATAATATTTAGGGGGAAAAAAAAGGCTGGAAATGTCATTGCTATAGAACTGACGCTCTCCAGATGCAACAGTAAGCTTGTTCCTGCCGTGAAGAAATTAAATAGCCAATGTTTGGGTAATAGATTATAAATTTAGAGCTATTATATCGTAAAGGTAAAAGTGGGTGTTAAGCCGAAACATCTCTCTCAAGGGAGAGAGGGAACAAACCTCTTCTGGTGGGAGCTGGAAGGGTCCAAACCAGACATGCAGCAGAGGAGATTTACTACAATAAATGATCTTTAAATTACGTTTCAATTTTTGCTAGCTCTTTGGGTTTTACTCCAACTTCTCCTGGTGATGGTGCCCAGGCTGAGGCAGGGAGCGGGCAATGGGAAGGGCTGCACCGTTCCCTTCTCCATCTGTGATGTGCCGGGCAGGACACTGGCAGACAGCGATGCAACCCTTGCGCAGCAGGAAGAAGGCTTCCGTGCCAATTTACAATCATAAAATTGTTTAGGTTGGAAAAGACCCTGAAGATGATCGAGTGCCATCGTTACCCTGGCACTGCTAACTCCACCACTAACTGTGACCCCAAGTGCCACGTCTACACGTCTTTTAAATCCCTCTGGGGATGGTGACTCAACCCCTTCCCTGGGCAGCCTGTTCCAGTGCTCGACAACCCTTTGGGTGAAGGAATTGTTCCCAATATCCCATCTAAACCTCCCCAGGCGCAACTTGAGGCTGTTACCTCTCGTCCCATCGCTTGGGAAAAGAGCCCGGCCCCCACCTCGCCACAACCTCCTTTCAGGTAGCTGTAGAGAGCGAGGAGGTCTCCCCTCAGCCTCTTTTTCTCCAGGCTAAAGCACCCCAGTCCTCTCAGACGCTCCTCATAAGTTCTCTAGACCTTTCTCCTTGTTCTCCAGACCCTTGGCCAGCTTTGTTGCTCTTCTTCGGAGACGCTCCAGCACCTCAATCAATGTCTTTCTTGTAGTGAAGGGCCCAAAACTGAACACAGTATTCGAGGTGCGGCTTCACCTGTGCCAAGTACAGGAGGCTGATCACTTCCCCAGTCCTGCTGGCCACACGATTTCTGACACAAGCCAGGACGCCGTTGGCCTTCTTGGCCACCCGGGCACGCTGCCGCTCACATTCAGCCGGCTGTCGACCAACACCCCCAGGTCCTTTTCCGCTGGGCAGCTTTCCAAGTGCAGGACCCAGCATTCAGCCTTGTTGAACCTCATACCGCTGCCCTCGGCCCATCGATCCAGCCTGTCCAGATCCCTCTGTGGAGCCTTCCTACCCTCCAGCAGATCAACACTCCCGCCCAACTTGGTGTCATCTGCAGACTTAACCAACAGTGCACTGGACCCCCTCGATTTACTGCAAATTAACTTAAAATTGGCATCCCTTAGGAAATACCTCGTGTGTTACCAATGGCGCTGCAAGGCACAAGAGGCACAGTGGCTGTTCTGAGTACTCGGATGCTCCATTAAAAGCTCCGAGTGTTTTAATCTCCAAAAAAAGACTCTGCTGATAAAGCAGTGGAAATCAAGCAAGGGTTTAAGCAAGGCACAGAAAAGCACGCTGGGCTTTGGGGAGCAGTAAGGCAGAGGCCGACTCAACAGATGATTTGCTTAATAATCTTCGACGCTTAATAAGTTTTGGTGCTTATTAAGTTTTGATGCTTGGCTGGGAGACAAAGGACTGCAGATGCACCCTCCCTGACTCCTGAAATATTATTTCTACTTTCTTATCCGCATCCCAAAGGGAAGAGGAAGGTGGTACAGGGCAAAGCAGTAGCTGAGCCACTGGAAATTCCTCCTCACGTGTGTATTTTCTAAAAGACCACAGAATCATACAATCATGTAGGTTGGAAAAGACCCTTAAGATCATCGAGTCCAACCGTTGAAGATGGATTCTGTGATTTCAGAAGGGCAGATGCAGGTGTCAGACCCGCACGGTCTCGCTCCTTCCACCAAGAACCATCGCCTGGTCTCTTGACCTCTACTTACAGGGAGGTTCAGCTTGACGGCATCCACGGGCTGCTGGAAAGGCCACGCAAACTGGTGCTTCCATAGCGTCTTCAGCACCACCTTGAGCAGATACTGCAGCTGGTTGGTCTGTCGCTTGGGTTTGTTGGGGTTGGAGGTCTCCGGCGGAGGGGGATTAACGCCTACAGCACTGCCTTGTTGGGGTTGAGCCTGTGACTGCGTCGTAGACATTTGGGTGGTTTCTAGTCCATCCCCCATTACCGGCAAATTTCTCAGTCTCGTTCCAGGGCCACTCTCCGCCGACATGCTATTGATCCCATTGCATTCCTCACCGGACACCCTGCAAAACAAGAAGGGAGAGGAGGTCACTTCAATCCCAGCTTTTGGTACAAGGCGCTGCTTAAAAATAAACCGGCGGACCTCCGCCAGGCTAGCTCGGGCAACTAGACCTTGCGCCCTGCTCACTTAGTGACAGCGTTGTGTTGTCCCAACAAATGATGTCAGCATTCTGCATCCCGGGGTAAGAAAGGACATTCCGAGGCAATTTGCCGTCTCTTCCATGTCAGGTGTCAGCGTTGCCTCTCCGCTCCCTAGCGAGCGTGAGTTTTATCCCTGTTCTTTCCTAATCTGGTCAACGAGGACTCCAATGGTCTCCATAAAGAGCTTTCGTTGCCTCTAAATGAGGCTCTAATGAGTAAAATGCTGCTCACTCTCGGCAGGTACCAGCTTCAGCTCCAGGGTTGGGTTCGCCTACACCGGGAAGAGAAGTTAAGTTGGTGTCGGCCAACTTTCAGCTCCAACTGAAGGAGTGTAGGGTGACACACTTATCTCCTTTCAGCTTCTCTGTAGTCCCCACCCCACCACCACGGGTCAGCTCACCCCAATTTAACACCAAATTCTGTCTTTTAGGTGGACGTTGAGCTTGCGCGGGATGCTTCAGCTGAACCAGGCAGTGGACAGACCCACCTTTAATTCATATTATCTGCTTTTGGTAGATGATTTAGGTAGATAGTAGCTTTAGGTAGTTAATTTATGTAGATAATCTTTAGCTAGATCATCTAGCTAGATAATCTTTAGGTAGTTAATTTGGGTAGATAATCTAGGTAGATAATAACTTTAGGTAGCTTATTTAGGCAGATAATCTTTAAGTAGATCATCTAGGTAGATAAACTTTAGGTAGATAATCTTGAAGTAGATAACCTAGGTAGATAATCTTAAGGCAGATAATTTAGGTAGATAATTTAGATAAGTAATCTTTAGGTGGCTAATTTAAATATCATTCTGAAAACCAGAAACTTGTGAAAAAAGGCATTTCTGCTGAGCCTACGGACTTCTCCCAGGGCATACTTCAGAGCTCGCCAAAGACCACACGCAGCCCGTCCATCTTCTTAAGCTACAGCTGCGTGAAGGGGTCACCACCGAGCCAAGACCAGATGCCGTGAACTGGCAGCTTCACCACCACCACGCGGTGAATCCCCACCCTTGCTGGGCATGTGGGACCTTCCTCATGTAAAGACACCCTCCGTGATGTGCGTCCTTCATCTAATTTAACACTGAGCACATGTAGCACACACTAAGCTTAAGACATGCAGCTATTAATTAGAGAAGACCACTATATATCGTGCAAGATGAATTAAGAGCCTTGTTATTCACCAGTTTCAAGTGACGCCCAGGGGAAAACAAGGAATAAAAGGTTTCCCATCTCCCCACTCATGGGGTTACCAAGTAACTTCTCAGCTGGGGCAGAACTGATTTGGTTTAGGACTGCCAGCCCTGCATGATCTGGAAAAAACCCCACTGGGCACCGAGGTGTTAGCCTTGGCGGAGCAAACCTCTGCACATATACTTGGCCTTGAGTCAGTATTTAAGTATATATAGGTATGTATATGCTCACAACAAGCATCTGGCCATGGGTTTGGGGTTTTATTCTGATGCCATAGAACAGCCCCGTGTCTCTGGTCATGGTCTGGATGCGCAGATGTCTCTGCATGTACCGCAGCAAGGGACTAAGAGCCAGAGAGATGAAGCATCTATGCAATTTTACCTGCTATGTCCCTCAACTGCTTCCAAGTCCCCCTAAAACCTCAGCCAGTCTTAAACCCCTGCTTAAAGTCTGCGGTCTGTTGCTTTTACTGGCCTAAAACTAACACCGACCGCCTAATACACCAGGGCATCATCAGATTTTGGTTTTTAGATTATGGGTTTTGACTTTGCAGGGCTCCAAGCGAGTTGAAGCATCGCTCAAGCAGTGAGATCGCTGCGGCAGACTCCCTTCATTCACCCAGGATATTTTACGGGAGATTTTATAGCTGTGGATACTGGAGTATCACCTCCAGAGAGCTGTTAGCTCAGCTGTCCTGTGAAACCTCTCTACTGCCAGCTTTCATTTTGCTCCTGCTTTTCTTCCCCGTTAGCAGGGTAGCCTGCCTGCTCTCTGCAGGGGAGATCTGACTCAAAACATGACAATCTGGATTTCCCTCTCTTGCAAAATTCCTTGAATTTTGCTTCGGGGTGGTGCTCATTCCTCTAGGTTGCATACTAAAGGGAAGCTCTTGTGTGATAAACTGTTCTTATTAAGTGGTGGCCAAGCAAAAAGAATCCTCTTTACTCACTGCAAGGGGCTACATTACCTTGTAGGATACATTGCCATATAATTTTGCCCCAGAAAATGATGCAGAGTCAGAAGTTGCTTGGCTTGTCCATCTATCTTCTGTGGCTTCAGGCACAAATGCCTTTAGATACTGTATCTGATGAAACAAACAAAGCAATTAATCTGAGGCATCAACCCAAGGTATCAGAAATGAAGGCTACCTCCAGAGAATTCTATCTTTTTAAACGTACATCGATAGTCCAGTGAAGCAAAGAAGTCTACAGACACCTGCAAACACGAGACACTTACGAAAAAATGAGGAACTGGCACCGGTATTTAAGTTCTTCCCAGGTATTTTTCCACTTTTAGGGCAAGTGCCTTCCTGAAATTCAGCATTTCAAGGACTGCGACCAATTGATTTCCTTCTGCTCCCTCTTAATACAATAGCTCTCCCAGAGCCAGCCGTAAGAGGAAGCCAAGGAGTTATTTTTTTTAAAGAGAAGGGAAAATATTTCATCATTGGTTTAATTTCTTCTCCTTCCACCTAAAAGCCAAGGCTCTACCACCCATGCAGGCAGTTAAGGATTATATCAGATTCACTCTCTTCATGTATCTTATTTATCACTTACTTAATTTATCGCGTATCTTTTTCACCATCTCCTTGCTCCTTTGGAGGGATCCTACCAGCCTCCTTTTCAAATTCTAGTGACTTTTTTTGAAGGGATTAGCTGAAAATACACCAATTTACACCACACTTCTCCTCTCTCCCCCAATAAAAGGATGCTTTGACTCTCTCCCCAGTTATGTCATGGCTCCCTTCTCACATTATCAGTGTGTACCAAAATATCAGAAAAAAATCAGAAAACTTCAATTTTGAACAGTTGCTCGGCCCAGCTCGACGGGCCAAGCGTTCGTAGCCTGACTTCACCTAAAGGTGAGCGCGGTCTCACCCCAGCAGCATCGCCCCAGCTCATCGCCAGCCTCATCTCTCACCAGAAATACGGAAATCACTGCTGCGTGCACGCTTGGGATCTTCCCAGGAAAAAAATAAAATTATCAGTATGGAGAATCTTCTCTGACACAGAAGACAAACATTGGGGAGTTCAAAGAAATGGGGTTTGATAGACCTGTGTGTCCTCTGTGGTTAAAAATCAGCAGCAAAATCAGAAAGAAGAGCTGCAGGATGAACGTAAGCCTAGATTTTACCATACAGGAAGGTATAATCTATAAATCTAATCTGTATTACAGATTGCGCTATAGATGCTACATTAGGGTTTTCTTACTCTATGAAGAAAGTGCTATGTTTGGGTTTTCTTAATCTAATCTACATTATAGATTAGAATTGCTTGGGGGTATTCAGATAGAATATATCTATATATTATAGATTAGAAATCTAATCTGTATTAGATTAGGTTATAAATCTAATCTGTATTATAGATTGTGCTATAGACTGTGCTACGTTCAGGTTTGCTTAATCTAATCTCTATTATAGATTAGAAATCTTACCTGTATTAGATTAGAAATCTAATCTGTGTTATAGGTTGTGCTACAGCTAGCGCTACCTTTGGGTTTTCTTACTTTCTGAGGCTTAAGAAAACCCAAACATAGCACCACCTGAATCTATAGATTAATTAATAGGAGGAAAGTAATTAACCTGTAGATTAAGAAAACCCCCACACAGCACCATCTCAAGGTTTGGTGACCAGAACACCGTCATTAACCTTACTGATAAGAGGCAGACTGACGTGCCCCATGCCGTACTTTCTCGTTTGGCTGAAGACAACATGCTTATTCACAGCAACATGGGAAAATCAGGAAAAATGCTTACTAGATTACTGTGATTAATGTTTAGGCACTTTATTAGGCAAAGGTATAAGTGAGATGGGGGAGGACGGACCTCGCTGGGATGCTATTTAGCATAGAGAGGCTCAGATTCACTGGGACTGCACTCCCTGCGCTTGGCCGGATCCACATGATTTTAATTCTGCCTGCCAAAAAAAATCCTGTTGTTTTTTTTTTCCCCTAGGGAAGAGGCGGGAAGGGAAAGGGCTGTAATGCAGCGCAGGAGCCGGCAGAGGGAACTGCCAGGCTAGGAGGAACCCAAGACCTGCAGAAAGACTTCTCCTTCTTCTACCCTAAAGCTGAGCTGGGGGAGATGGGGATGGAGGGAAGCAGAGACGATACTGGGGGAAAAATGTGGAAAAATGGGTCTGGAAAATTCACTGTATTGATGGGATAAAAGGGAACACGACTGTGGGTCCGGAGGAGGAGGTCAGCTCTAGAGGACACCCAAGGTGGGGACTGGTCTCACCAGGCAGAGGAATCACAAAAGAATATATCTGATGGCTTTGCCGAGTGCAAGGCAGCAGCTGGGAAGCAGAAAGCAGAGAAAGCCTTCGCTCTACGGAGGGAAAAAGGAAAGTGTTGCCAGAAGAGCAGAGACATAGGCAAAGCCTGAAGATGGGGATCCGGAGGCTGGAGGACGGTGATGGAAGGAGGGATCATGGGTACGTTCGGTTTGGGATAGCAGCAGGCATGAATGCTTGCATAAAAATAAAAGCAGGAATATTTTCCAGTTGAAAAGCGGGAGAAATTAATAACCAGGAACGCACAGCGGGCTGTCACAGCACCAGCCTCCGAAAAACATCCTGGGAGGGGAAAAAATTATCTCCTAATGAGTCGAAGAGGGTGGTACGCACAAGAAAATGCTGGGTTTTATTCAGGCAGATGGATTATTTTAGGCTGGCTTA